GTGCGCGGAGCGCGACGCTCGGGCTCGTCGAGCCTAGGATCTACATCCCTCGATGCCGCGGACGCACAGTCCGACATTGCACCCGTGCGGGAGATGAAGTTGGGGTCTGCCCGTGTGCGCTGTCAGAACCAGCGAGACTTGGTGACTTCTGTGTTGTTGACACAGGGCTCATCGAGCACGGAAGTAGTTTTATTCCAACGAACCAAGTTGCAATGTCTAGCGGACACGCAAGCCTGGTTGAGGCAAAAATCGATTGAAACTGTAAATGTTCTCAATTTTAATGGGGGAGAGTGTAGCGGGGTTACACATACCCTGGTAAAAGGGGTGAGTGTCACACCAGATGGGCATGGTGTGCCTGCACCCAAACAAGAATACGGTATGTGACTGGATAGCCAGTACTTATGCATGTATATAGATTTTATTAGATGAATTTAGGAAAACCTATACATTTGAAATTAGATGGCTTTGCGGCAGATAAAAATAAATATAAGTCAATTTTGAATTTTGAACAGAGGGGTTAATTCGCCTTGGGTTAAGGCAATATTTTTTTCTGGAGGTAACGGATTGCGATCCGCTAAACTTGTACTTGTTCGAAGTATAGACCAAAAGGTCGGTGACCTAAGTTACGCTTGCTCAAAGCGCAAAGCTACGGCAGCCCCGCTGCATCTTTTGTGGTCATTGCACTGCCTGGCTTAAAGTTATTCTGGCACTGCGTCCTTGTTTGAGAGCAGCGGGTAGATCAGCAATAGGGGATAGAACAAACACTGCTTCGTATACAACAGAGCTCTTCACATCCGACTGATTTGATAGAGCAGGTACGCTGTCTGACGTAAGCAAGTCCATGATAAACAAAATATTAGATTTGGAATGCGGTTAGTTTCTCTCGATCTCAATGTTGGTACGACCGTGCGTGGCTCACTTACACTTTGTCTTATAAATTGCAAACACGGCACTTTCATTACATACGATATGACCTTTTGCACCACAATTTACTTTCCTGCTGTTTGCATCAGCGTGCTGATATTAAATAACATGGCTATCCACTATAGTGACACGCATAGCGTGCATGACGCCTAACCTCATTGACATAACAATCATTGACTGTGTTACGAGGTGTAGCCGGGCTAAATTCAGCAAGTCGACAGCCCCGACTGCACTAAAGGCGGAGCCACTTCGTGCCGGAGTCGAATACACTCAGGGGCTTTCCAAACTATCTGTGTAAAATGGGTATAGTCTATAGAGCTATTTCCAAAGTTGGTGAACAAAATGCAACGAACTAACGCAAATTGTTTCAGGTCCATGGGCTTTCTCGCATATGCTTGAAATATTCTCCATCACGGAACTAACGCGTGCTGTCTGATCGTTTTTTGCAGAAGAACAGCGGTTCGCATGAAGACTAATCCCTTGAACAACGTTTGCCAACATTGCGCTAAAAATCACAGATGTCTTCTATCCAATGCACTGGATGATTGCCAACTTTAGGAACAAGTTGGTGGTATTCTCATCAGTCACACTATCGCTGACAGCAAGAGGCAAGGCTACCATTCTGTAGAGACAGCTCATAAATATAACAATACCGGTGCTGCCGCACGCATTTAGTAAGGCAGAAAATAAAGTTTTACTGATAGACTATAGCTCTCTGCCTGGACCAACAGGATCCGCCTCATGCGGTGAGACGTTTAAGCGTTGACACGTTATACATTTGCGAGTATTTGTTCTAATCCAATTTTATATGTTTGGCTACAAATACCAAGCAGTACGTCTTTTGCCTCCCGAAATAGTTACCCAAAGGACACAAGGTGCCTCATAGAGTAGTTTACACTGGAAGTGCTCGTAATAAAGCACCATTTGCTTTTTACTGTAATGTGTTCCTGAGACCTCCACCATGAGGCCCCACTACACGTTAAGTGCGGTGCTGTGACATCAGTATACTGGTGTGGGCGCTCACCACGCGCTTAAACGACTTCTGAGTTCTTAAGTCCCTTCATAGCGAACTTTTCAGCAGCGCAACACATGTTGCGTCAAATTCGTAAGCTAAATATTTTTCCCTTGTTGATGGTCGACGTCGCCATGGTGACAACCGACAATAACTAGTCAAGGAGACGTGAAAACGCACCCGTCCCTACCGACCTGGTTTATGTCTTACCTCAACGTATACACGGCTAAAAAGGTATTTTTTGTCATTCTTAGTGAGTGATGTGGTGACGACATTACACTGCACAACGACAAATGATCGGTTCGAATCAAATGGGCTAATCTCAAGCGGGCACATTATAGATTAGACGGTGGCGCATTTCATCGCAGGTAGTTCTTGTCATGAAATGTGTGACTTCTCTCAGCAATTTTAAGCTGGCGAGATGTTGACGCGGACATGCAATCATATCCATTATCTTCCAGCTTTAAGCAAAATACAGCATATTAAAAAGGTTGAAGCGTTACAGACGACGTGGAATGGCCAATCTGAATTCAAGGTTTTGATTGTTGAGGTACGCATGAGGCTTTCATTCACAGCCGTGATGATCGCTATTACTGCTATGCCGAGAAGAAAAAACATTGGACATCTGTTCATGAAGACTGACGCGACGTTGTGCCTTGCCAGCATACTTTGCACTCTGTTTGTGCAAACATTTGACCTAACCACTTCCTTAAGCCCTTTTGCGACATAAATATTGGCCAATCTACAATGACATCTATAATCGTGGGTTTTTGCTGGCCGGCACTGCTAATTTTAGAAAGGCTTTTTGTCGGCATCAAGAACACACTTGTCGATGCTGACGAATAGCTTATGGTAGCGCACGCACTCTAGCATCACTCGCAAATGCAGCCTTCATGGGACTCTTTTTTTGAATGATATCATCTTCATAAATGCAGAAGTCCCTGTAACGTTACAGCGATATTCAGTTATTTGTGAAACTTTACGTTTACATTGATTATAGTGAATTTTGTACAATTGACTAGATTTAATGAAATACAATTGTACTTGATATGTCTGAAATAATTTTACAAAACTACAGTACTATTCCCACTACACGTTTATTTTCTCACATGTATTTGTCGTGTCGACAGAGACCGTGGTATCTATCGCAAAACTTGCTTGCTGTGTGCTGTAGCTAACGCTAGGTCGTATAGAACTGTACAAGTTGAAATTAGTTAATTCAAACAGGGTCGTGAGAAGCGCGCTTTTGAAGCTCTAAGTGCACGATTTTTTTTGCAGTTTTACACCAAGTTTAGAAGAAGGATCTGGGCATGACCCCAATAGAGGGTAGGTAGGTGCTAAACATGAAGCACATATTCGAGTTTAACTTTGGTTAGAGGTATTTTGAAGCGAATGGCCCAGCTCGCGTAATGATAGTGGTTGAACACCATATGACCTTGCTTGAAGCAAGTGAACGCTGTGATCGAGAAGAAGCGCTCGAGCAGAAGAAACAATGACGTCACAACACTAACCTTTGTATGTTTTTCGGTCCTGTTTCAAGCGCAATCCTCAGCACTTAGTGAGCAAGAAGGAGTCTCTATTCTCGAGTCTGTAACAATTAGAAGCAGCACTTTGAGACATTCACGCACAGGAAGCTCTACTTGTTTTATACAGAGCACGACAAGTGTATATTGAATTACGTTTAAGCCATATTAAACTCATGTCAAAAAATGTCTGGATCATGAAAGCAGGGGTTTTTACTTTGCACGATTAGAATGGAAGACGTGGTGAGAGCTTCACGATGACCGTGAAGACTTAACGCGTGACCTTGCGAATCATGATAATATTTCCAAGCTTTTGAATCAAGCACCACGATTTTCAAAATGCTGAAGTGTGACTTCGGTAACTTACACAAGCGGCTGCGGTACTTAATGATAAACTAGCAGAAATTTTTGAGACGAGCAACCTGAAGCGCGACTAGCCATGAATTCACAAGATGTACAAGATCAAATCGTCAAAAACGAGCACATCAATTTGCAGTAAACGGAGCTGATAGATCGTGACAATGTGTGCACGCTCAAATTTGCCGAATTAATACAGCTTCCGAACGATTGATGCAGTAGCGCTAGTAACTATTGATGGTCGGGAAACGTTAAGCCGGTGCACAAACAATAATCAATACGGTGAACTTATCTGGAGCAAGAACCTCTTAGCACTCTCTTTTGAATATGTTCAACCGGTGTATGGGAGTGTATCCATGTTACGCTCGACTAGCGAGACGTCACGGAGCAGAGCAGAGGAAGAAAGGACTAGAGCTAAGATTCCAACGGGAAGCTCGAAGAGTCGTGAAGCGAAGGTCTTAAAGGGATGCGAGGGTTTAGCAGGGAACCCAAGGCGAGGCTTGAGGAGTAGACGTACTCCGAAGAAGGTAAATTGAAAAGTGAGATTGAAATGGTTAGAGGTCTAAGAATCCTGGTTCACTAAATACCATGTTGCTAGCTAGTCCAGTTCTTAGCTCTTAAACTAAGTATTGAAGATTCTTGAACATACTTGTAAAGAATCTTGACAGTTCAAGAGGTCAGGCACCGATAACAGTTAACTTTAACCGGGCCGTGATACGAACCGTTCTTCATACAATTTTGAATATAAACGAAAGCGTATAGTTGAAGTTGAATTCGAACTACAACGTGGAGCGCAACATGTTGTTGCTCCAGCCTAGCACGTGCCAGGCTGGCCACTGAGTGGCTAGTTGAA